ATTAAATTAAGAGAATCATGCTTTCTTTTTCTCCATCTATCTCAGGACATTGGAACTTTCCCGACTGCCCTGTGCTGGACACCCCCCACCACCACTACCACCACCCAGTTCCTCTTCCCCAGCCCTGCATCACATCGCCAAGCAAGTTACAGCTCAGAGCTCTGGCAGGAGTTTTCAAAGTTCTGGAACCTTCTACCTTTTCTACCAATATCTAGAGACAAGACTGCTCTGCAGTTTTCTGGAGCATTATTTGAAAATGTGTCTTCAAGAGAAACAAGTTTTTAAAGGGTAAGAAAGGAATTCTTAGAACATTGCTCCAGGGGGTTCAATTTACAATCGTAACCAAATAGATCAGAGATCTAAGTGGCTGAAAGCCATGACCAGTTTCACCTGGACACTGCTCTCTAGGCCTGGGCCCTCCCACCTTTCTACTGAAAGTCAGATCCACCAACCCGGGCATCACCTGAGAGCAGGACTAGTTTCATATGAGTTATACTTGCAATTTTTAAATATATTTTGTTGTTTTTTTACAGAGAGGAAGGGAGAAGGATAAAGAGTTAGAAACATCAATAAGAGAGAAACATCAATCAGCTGCCTCCTGCACACCTCCTACTGGAGATTTGCCTACAACCAAGGTACATGCCCTTGATCAGAATAGAACCTGGGACCCTTCAGTCTGTAGGCTGACACTCTATCCACTGAGCCAAACCGGTTAGGGCATATATTTGCAATTTTAATGAGCTATTTTCTCAGTACAGAAATCTCCATATTGGTATGCATAGGTTGAGAAATCAAAACACCATTTTTTAAAATATGATAATACATTTAAATAAAGTAAAAACAAAAGCAGAACAAACCATAGTATTGTTTTTGGATGGAGAATTGCATTCAAGACAAATCTTGGCTACAGGCAACCAAAACATATAGAATTTTAACTGTGTCTCTTACTGAAGAAGAGATATAGACCCCTGGAGCATGAGAGCCATAGCCATATGGAGGTAGGAGATGACATTTTTATGTTTATCCAAAGAAGATCAAGTTCTAATAGACTGAGAAACAGTGATCTAGGAGAATGTAGAGTTAACTCTTAATCTTTCTGCCACTCATTTGGTTTGCCATCTTGTTTTTTTGTACACCTTCTATGTGCCAGGCACTGAAGTGATAGTTCATGTCACTGATTTTTCTCTGAGTCATTTCAAAAGGATTTATAAATAATCTAATTCATCCATTGTATTATAACACGATTGGGAAAAAAAAAAAGGCATAAAAAGAGAGAAAAAAATGTCTTAGCCATGAGCTCCACCAGGGTTGATATTGTATTATAATGTAATTGTTGAGCAGTACTCTAAAAAGCCAGGGTATATTGAGAGACCATATACTTCCTATGGTGGTCCCAGGAAGAAATTTAGGAGGTCCATGAACTTGGACCTTTACTTTTTTCTTACCTCTAATCGAAAATTTGGCATTTCTCCCCACTATCACTGTAGGCAAAAAACCACAATAGCATAACAGTACCTGTGACATCATTCCCTACAAGTTTTAGCTTAAGCCTTGAGGTTTAGTCAGTTCTAGACTAAATCTCCTTCATTTCAGACTTCACAGCAGTATTGCCCCCTCAGAAGGGCCTTTTGCTTTGGTGGTTTGCAGTGCCGCCTGCATGAAGCTCTACTGCCATCGTGTACCTGTGACATATAAAATTACAGATGTTTTTATAACACATTAGAGTTGCTGCAGATAACTTGAATATCATTTTTGCTCATCATTACTTCAAAAATATAGTAGTGATTGGGTCTTTCACTGTTTTTATTTAGTTCTACAGTAAAGAAGTCATATATATGTATTAATCCATTACAAAATTTTTAAAATGTTTTAGATATTTCTAATATAGTTGTTTTTTTTCAACCCTATATACTTTTTAAATGAGTTTAATTATTCTGAGAAGGAGCCTAAAGGCTTTACCAGGCACAATAAGGGTCCAAAGTGGATAAAAGGCTAAGAACCCAGTACTGGAAGAAGGTTCAAGTCTATAAAAAAATAACAAAAACTTTTCAGGCACTAAGTGATCAATTGTTGAGCACACAAACAAAAGCATCAAGTACATCTATTTGAAAAAAGAAAGATGCTGAGTGACATATTGGAAAATATCTGACAAAAATATATGACTAATGTAAGAAGAATTTACACACATATATTTATGTATATATATTATATATATACATTATATACAATATATATATATATATATATATATATATATATATATATATAAATTTTTTTCAGAGAGGAAGGGAGAGGGAGAGAGAAAAGCATCAATGATGAGAGAGAGTCATTGATCAGCTGCCTCCTGCATGCCCCACACTGGAGATCAAGCCAGCACCCAGGCATGTGCCCTGACTGGGAATCAAACTATGACTTTCTGGTTGTCAACATTCAACCACTGAGTGACACCAGCTGGGCAAGAAAATTTTTAATTAACATTCAATAAAAACCAAAGGCAAACATTACAGAAAATGTGGTGATTTTACATGGAGTGAGCATGATGGCAGGGATAAGTCAGTGTGACTGGGTGTGTACTCTCTGGTGATTTTACTTTATGTGTTGATAGAACTTGAAAAATCTAGAGGAATTAAGAGATAACAAAACACATACTAGTCCAAAAACCATGACAGGTTTTGTGTGTGTGTGCGTGTGTGTAACTAAGACACAATAATTTTCTATATTTCCCCTTTTCAGATTTTGTCTTGTCCATTAACTTATCATTGTAGAATGTGTAATAGTACACATATAAAAGATAAAAGGCAGAGACTTCATTTATGGCCATTCTGAGTACTGTTTAGTTTTGGTATATTTATATTTATATTTATATTTATATTTATATTTACACACTGTGCCTCCTTTTTTCTTAGATGGAGGTCCTTTATAACATGACTGTGGTAGAGCAACTGCCATTCACGCACACACATTGGCCAGATCCCACTGGAGGGCTGGGACAAACCCCAATGGTATGTAACCAAAGCGAGCCAAGTAGAATTGTGACAAATGTGTACAAGGAGGGGTAAGGCAATGGAATCTCTTTTTGAAGCAGACACCTGAGAGGTGTATGCTCTGACTCTGGGAAAGCTGAGAAACTCCATGGGGCTGAGAGTCAAGGCGTATCAGTTCAGTTCCAAGATGCAAGTTTTTTTTTGTGACTGATGCAGAACTGAGGAGCGCTACTGAACTGGGACTGGGGGCAAGAAGTAGGGTACGGGTACTCAGATGATCATTTTTCCTGGGAACCAAAGGCTAAGTCTGGGCGTGGCTAAAGATCACTTTGTTCTGTGTCTTTTATTCACACTCTTCCTGAAACCTGCATAGGATGCACTCAAGAGATTGAATGGTGCCAAGAGTGACTGCAGCAGAGGAGGACACACAGAGAGTGTCAGTGGAGAAGAACCTGAGACATTTTAGTGGATGGAAAGGAGTTCACCTGTATCCCTATTCCAGCCCCTCCCCCCATAATAGCACAGGTATTTGAGAAACCATTCAGGCCAAGGCCTGCTTCAGGAGGAGGATGGCTGGATTAGAGGGCTTTCCAATCTGGTGGACTCTCTGTTCTTGAAGATCTAGCTCATCTGTCAGCACTTACTGGAAGATGCAGAGTGTTTGTGGGACAGGCTCAGGGTCCTCCAGACCTCAGTTCAAATCCCAGCTCCATCCCCACCTGCACTGTGACCTTTGGCCTCTTGCTTAGCTCTCCAAGCTGCAGATAGATCCTTTATGAGAAATAGGGGTCATGAGAGTACTTAATGCATAGGGCTATTATGAGAATTAAACACAATTTTGAAGCCTTTTGTACACTAATAAAATGTATGTAATTGCATTTTTTAAAAATGCAATGATCTCTCTTAAAAGAGTGTTCTTTTAAGACAGGCTAAGGTTTTTTTTTTGTTTGTTTTTTTCTCTTTTCATTTTTATATCCCAAGTGCTTAATATCTAGTACATAACCAAGCCCTTAATGCTGTTAGTTAAGTAAAATCAGATAATATATCTCAGGCTGGGATTTCCAGAAAGTAGGTGGTCAGGTTCAGCAAGATACCAGGAAGACTTAGCAAAATTGCTTCTCCTCCAGTTACTTCTCATCATCGCAGGCCCAGAACTCAGAATGCTGTGCAGGTGTGTCTGACTTGAAGGGAGACTTCTGCTTTTCTGCCTAGAAAACAGGAGCTACATTCAGTTGCCTATTTTAAAGGCGGACTTTCCCTCCCCCTCCCCCCACTCCTTATGTGCTCTCCCACTGCGTGTGCACTAAACAGCTTCCCTCTGACAGGTGGCTGTCAATGGAATCCATCCCTTGTTTTAGTCTCCTGTTGACCCAGCCTGATAATTTCATGTCCTGTAGACCAAACAACTGATTGGCTCAATAGGGTAAGATTTAGTCTACTTGTTTAAAAAACTTGAAATAACTGATGTAGTGACATGTTTCAAATTGCTTTATTGTCTCAGATTTGATACTGAGCCAGCTATGTTTATTTTGCTTTACAAAGATAAGGCCGATGTGGTCTATAAAAATGTAAGGGCTCTTAAAAGGCGAAAAGTAGATCTCAACAGTTATTTTACTACCAAATAACAGGGGATCAGTGCTTCAGTGTGAAAATGCTGATTGTGAAATCTGTGAACACACTATTGCAGAAGAAAAATATCCTGAAATTAAGTTAAGAAAGCTAATAATTTCTCATTTATGATGTCAGAGACTCTACTATATGGGAAAATATATCTCCTAAGGTTCTATTGAAAATGATTTAATATATTTCTTGGTTGGTTAAGCCAGCCTACACTAAGGCACAGCTTTACAGATCCATGGGTTTGGAAGAGAAAGATTGACAGGGGACCCAGATGCTTTGACGAGAGAGACGTAGGAATTGACATTTTGATATGTCGCATTTGTGAAATGATTTGTCAGTTGGACAACAGAGTTGTCTCTTATTAGCACACTCAAACAGCAGCAGAAAAACAACCTGTTTTATTCTCATGAGATTTATTGTTTTTTAATAATGCCACTTTTCAGAAGTATAGTCATGTGCTCACTTAGACAGGCTGACAAAGTGAAAACTTGTACGTGATGCAAAGTACCCTTTGGGCCATAGATTAAGACATAGATAGTGCAGTGACAAGTCAAGTCAAATGCCCGCAGCAGACAACAAATCCCAACCTCCCCTTCCCATGATCTGGCTCCCATTTTGCACCATAGAACCCACAGTGGATATCTGGGCAAAACATAGAACACAGATAGCTACCGACTGACATGAAAAGTAAATTTTATTAAACATGTTTACATACATGAGTTGGAAGTTCATTTAAAAGCACAGGGGAGTGTGTTAAGACAAGTGGTCAAAATAGAAAGATACTACCCAATTAGTTGATTGTTGGCCACTAAGACAGAACGGAATCTAGTAGAAGTGCACCAATGCTTCAGTTCTTCCTGCTCAGCATGGTGATTAGTGGTCAGTCTGTGCCCTGTGGAATGATGGGCAGATAATTCTGGCATGTGTAAATAATGATAAAGAATTCACTTGGTGCAGGCAGTATGTCTATGGATTAAAACCTAGTGTGTACACAGTGTCTACATGTGTTACAGCCCCACAGTAAGAATCTACACCAAAATATTTATTAGAAGGAATTTGGTCCATACTACATCACGTTTTCCAGAGGGTAAAAAATAAAGTCCATCTATAGACATTTCACCCCAGGCTCCAGATCGAGTCTGGTGGAAACCTGCAAAATGTCTATAACAAAAATGGATGGCTTAGATTTCTTGGTTATTTCAATATAGTAATTAACGAGCAAACTGTACAAGTACATGCAACATACAAGCGGGCCTATGTGGAACTAACATACATTATTAAATAACCTTTTGTTTCTTTTCTTTTTCATTTTTTATTTATTTTATTTAATTTTTTTTTTACAAAATGTGCATGCAGCGTTGAACAGTTCCAAGTCATGCTGCTCTATCTGTGTAGTCACAAAAATTGAATGACTCATAAAATGAGAAGAACATGTCAATGCACCTGCAGCGTCAGCAGTATGGAACACACACACAGAATGCCACAAGGGAAAGTCAAGGCCAAGAAAAACTCAGATGAAGAAAATGCACATTGAAATTTGACTTTGTTTCATCTCTCCCCTCCCCCCCCAAAAAGTAATATACTTTGCATTAAAAAAAAAAAGAGAGAGCTTTGTGCTTGCATCGATCTCAGAGAAAGGTAAACTAAAATTTGATAAAAACATTAGTTTAGTGCAGAATAGTTCAACTGGAATTTCCAGTGAAATACTGAACAGCTCACACTATGCTCTTTCCGAGTGGACGAGTGTGTCTGCACTGAGGCACAGCCGAGGAGCCCGGGTGTGGCCGAAGTACCTTGGACCCAAGTCCGTTTTAATCACCATTTGGGGAAGTCAAAAGTGTGGTCTATACACATGAGTATGTACTTTTTCTTTTTAGTATCAGAAAGAAAAAGGCATTACAAGGAGAGTTTCCAAGGTATGATTATGCAGCTAATTTTAGTTCCCAGCACTAGTTGCAGATTGACTTCTTTAAAAGTCTTCCATGCAGAACAATGGAAAAGAAAGTAAATTTTTAGAACTCAAACAGATGTGCTCTCCATTAAACACGGTAATTCAGGGACTATTTTTTGGAAAATTTCTGGGTTTCCACACATCAGACTGAAAAATTATAGCATGAAAACCAGTGGAGCCCTTCGGGCCTTGCCTTGTCCAGCTGTTGAGCATGTAGGGGAGATGCTACAGAGGCTGCTTCAGCCCTTTTTGTGGCGAGTTTGGAAAAAGAAAGGAAGGGTCTCTGTAAGCATCACGAGGCCTGTCATGACACAGCCGAAAACTAGTGTAAATAACAAACTCAGTGAAAAACGAAACAAAACAAATCCAAAAGCAACAAATCACACACACAGAAACAAAACACAGAAAAACGAACTCATCGAACATCAGGGAAATAACACTGCTCGTGGTCTGTGTGAAAACGTGTAAAATACTATTTATCACAGAGTGAGAGTTTCCAGTTTGTTCAATTTGGGGTGCGTGCGTGTGGGCGTGTGTGCGTGCGTGCGTGCTTGTGTGTGTGTGTGTGTGTGTGTGTGTGTGTAAATGTGGTTTCTTCTTTTTCTATTAGAAGCATCAGTGGTTCTCACTAGCTTGTTGGTTCTTACTGTAATCTGATTCACTGCCTTGTTCTGTCATATGAAGCCAGATTTGAAACAACAGTTGGGACACATTATTGAAAACTACTACAGGCAAAGCACAAGTTGATTGTCTGTCTCCAACAATGCTTTTGCTCATGAAATATCTGGTTCCGATTATTATCCTGAAAGATAGAGCTTTATTGGAATGACTCTAGTATGAGTTCACTACGATCGAATGCAGGGAGGCCCAGTTGAACTTTCCAGAGATGATTGGGAAGCCCGGCGGGTTAGGGGAGTGAGTGTGGGATCCACCAACGATGACGGTGGGAATAATTTGTACCATCCGATTACCATACTGGACAGATCAAGTTCTTCCAATAAGATCTGGGCCACACCCATAAAGCATTTATGGTCCATTCTTCCATAGTCTCCCCAGACAATCACCTGCAGAGACAGAGAAAGGCAATAAACTTGAACTCCACTCTAGAGTTGTGCCTTAGAAGAGTTGAAAGCAACAATTATATAAAGGTAGGCCAGTGAGCTAAGGAGAAGAAATGAATACCACCAACACTACGGAGGAAAACTAGGTAAGAAGATACTAAAAGGAAGGTGCTCAAAAAGACACTTCACAATATGTTCTAGATTTGATGGAAGGCAGGTAATATTTTCCTAGTCAAGGAGGGGTATTATACACATAAACCATGTTAAAGAAATACATACACAATTTCATTTACATATAAATTTAACACCTTCTTTAGTAACCACTATCTAATAAGCAATGCACGTGACATTCAGTCAGTCCTGAATACTCGCTGGCCCCTGAACATTTCTGTTTTCCTTTATTCCTCACTGTGTCTCATGTCTGTAGATAATAATGCTCAATGAACTATTACTGGCATCATTTGCCTTGATATCTTTCTATCTATCATCACCTACATCTAGCTATGAAGATGGGGCAAGGGGTGACAAATAAGGCAAAAGTAGAGGACAGGATAGAGAGAAGGAAGAAAAGAAGATAGAGCCGAAACCGGTTTGGCTCAATGGATAGAGTGTCGGCTTGGGGACTGGAAGGTCCTGGGTTGGATTCCGGTCAAGGACAAGTACCTTGGTTGCGGGCATATCCCCAGTAGGGGGTGTGCAAGAGGCAGCTGATCGATGACTCTCTCTCATCGATGATTCTAACTCTCTATCTCTCTCCCTTCCTCTCTGTACAAAATCAATAAAATATATTTTAAAAAAAGAAAAGAAAAGAAGATAGAGAAAAAAGGAGAACATTTATTTTATTAAATTCCATCAAACCCATATATATTTTAATACTATACATTATTTTCACAGTAAACAGCAACTTGCTTTTTTTTTTCCTACTGGAGAATGTTATACCACATTTCTCCCAACTGAACTTGAGTCTCTTCCTATTTGATCACCTCTTGGGTGTCTGCATGGATAATGTGGATTTTCAATGTAAAAAAGTCACATGAGCTATGACTCACCTGAAGAACTTTACCCTGCGGACTTTCATCAAACAGCAGGGACTGCTGATACAAAGGATCAAGGGTTTTCCGTGCAATTCTTGTCTTCTTCTTGGCTATACAGGCCCCGTTTTCCAAAAGATACACCTTGACATAGGGAGCTAAACAAAGATAATATTAATGCATGTTAATCCTTTAAGTTAAGTGGATTATATTAGAGAATGCCTTACTAGAGATTTAGAGATGCTTACGGAAAGTTTTCCATTGACTATTTAAATCTTTTACAATTTAAAGTGCTTCAGAAATTCTACTCCTTCACTCCCCTATGTTATCACTGCAGCCATTTACATAATTTCAAATAAATGTATGCAGGTTACCTTAAGACTTTGACTTTCTTGGGGTACATGCGGTATTATAATTCAGGTTTATATCTTAACGCTCATTGTTTCCTTGTATTACAACAAAACTTTTTCCTTTTTCATTTGTAAATGTACCAAAAAACTAATTGACATAAGCTAAGAAACAATCCTAACTGAACTTTTCCTAATATGACAATATTACCCCTCATACTTTCTGACGGAATGATTGTGCCAAGATTCATTTTTATAGTCTCAGAGAATGCAGAAAGCTGCCTTTTTATCTATCAGAGGATAAAAAAACGGAGCATATGAAACTTCAATGCAGCAGGTGTTTGAGTTCTTTGCCCACATGGGCGAGATTTTCTGGTCCAAAGGTCTTCCCTTACCAGGTGTGGATTTGGAGCCAGGTTTTTGTGTGAGACTTCGTGCTCTGATCACTTCCACTTCTAACTGGCCCTTCTTATCCTCCATCCCAATTTGTATATCGCCTGCAAGGGAAAGGGAAGCAAAATGTGTCAGCTTCTCGGAAGGTATGGTCAATGAAAAAAAATAGAGGTTCATAACAGGCTCCAAATTAGGGCTTTCATGACCTTGATAAAAACAAAGATTTAGAACCCCCCAACCCTGCCCTTCTCTCCCTACTTCCAAGTCAGGTGTCAAATATTTCCTCTTAATTTTTCTGGTACTAATCCCTTTAAGAGAGTCCCAGATTAAGTTATAAATTGCTTAACAACAGTAATACGGAGGTATTTAAGTGATTCTTGTACTCTAATAAAGATTTCTTATCCTTTATGTCATTTAGTATATAATATTTCTTAATAAAAAGCATAATCTATTTATATTTCCATTTAGAGAAATCAACATTATTGTCTTGCTGAACATCCTAGCAATCTCATAAGTACTTTCCTCTTTTCCTCCCACCTTCCCCTCCTTCCTTCTAACTTATCTATCTAGCTATTATGAACATACATCCTCAGTTTATTGACCACATGGGCCACTAAATAGGCATGACATTAATGATTTAACCAAATATAGGCTATCTACATTGTTGCCATTATAACTAAAAGCTTTAAAAAGAATTTTTGCATATGTTGTCAATATTCCTTGATCACAAATTCTCAGATTTTAAATTATTGGGTCTAATTGAACAGGCATTCAAAATTCCATGCATATTGCCAAATATTAGTCAGAAAGGCTGTGCCAGTTTTCACTATCAACAGAAGTATTATACCTCACTAATAGCGGTATTAAAAATATGCCTCATTTTTGCTAACCTGATGGTTAAAAAGTAGTAATTTGCATTTTCTTGATTATTAGTAAGGCTGAACATATTTCTAAGTAATTTAAACTTTTATTCCTTCTTTTATGTCTTGCTTGTCATACGCTTTACCCATTTTTAATAAGATAGTCTCCTTTTTTTCTGATGGAGATAATACTTTATCTCTGAAAATGTTAAATGTAATTATTTTGAAGTTATTTTTAGTTAGCTGAGTCATCTCCATTTTTCAGTTTTGAGTTCAAGTTGCCAGGTCAGTTGTTCATTAGTTTTGTCACTTGTTTTAGATCTCAGCTCTTAGAGGTCTCCTGGTCTTTTCTGGTTTGGTTTTAACCACATATAGACATAGTTTAATGAGTCAAAATGTTTTATAAGACTTCTGTTTTGTTTTGTTAAAACATATTTTTATTTATTTCAGAGAGGAAGACACACACACACACACACACACACACACACACACACAGATCAATGATGAGAGAGAATCATTGATCGGCTGCCTCCTCTCCTGCACACCCCACACTGGGGGTTGGGCCCACATGTATCCTGACTGGGAATCAAATCACAGATCCACACTCAATCACTGAGCCTTAGTGGCTGGGTTTAAGACAAATTTTATTAGCATAAAAGATTCCCATTCTCTCTGTCAACTTCGTGCCTTCCAAGGGTCAGTGCTTTCAAAAGTTTCAATATTTTCATCTGGTCTATTTTTCATTTTTTTTGGCATTTGACTCCATATCTCTAAATATCATACTTATAAGATATCATGCTAGTTTTTCAATTTTAGATATTATTATTGACTTCTAATTTCAATCTTTCTCACTTCTTTCCCATCCCCACCACATACTAGATACATTTGGTCATCACATTTTCCAGTATTAATATTTATATTATTATGATTATGTAACATTGTTTATTGCTGAGTGAACTGGAGTACTATGATTATTACTTCTCATTTCTTGGACAGCTCTTCCCCTTCCTTTCCCTTAATAAGTATTTTTTTTTAGAAAGCATTTGCTTACATTTTTATGTACACATCACTAATTCAACCCCACAAACTCTCCTGGGTTGTTTACCTCTTCCTTAAAATCAAATACATTAGGAATTCTATAGATTTTAATCTTATGAAGTCTGACATGATACAATTTGAACAAAATGCTTTGAAGCTTACTACAGCTGTTATTTTTAGGTTTTCCTTCACTACCAACCATTTCTGTGTTGAACATTTTTTTACTGGATCTCATCTTCTCATTTTAATTCACAATTATTAAAATTCACTTCATTCATTTCATGGAAGTATATCCTCCAACAGTTCTCTGTGAAATTTTGGGTATGAGAAAAATGTTTGGAGACTTTTACTGGCCTGAGTTTTTTTTTTTTTTTTATAATATATTTTTTTTATTGATTTTATACAGAGAGGAAGAGAGAGAGATAGAGAGTTAGAAACATCTATGAGAGAGAATCATCGATCAGCTGCCTCCTGCACACCCCCTACCGGAGATGTGCCCGCAGCCAAGGTACATGCCCTTGACCGGAATCGAACCCGGGACCTTTCAGTCCCCAAGCCGACGCTCTATCCACTGAGCCAAACCGGCTTTGGCTGTCTGAGTTTTTATTTAGCCTTAAACTTACTAGAAAACTTGGCCGGCTATAGTACTCTATGCTGGAAATCAATTGCTACTCAGAATTTTGAAGATAACGCACAGTAGACTTCTAGCTCCCAGTGTTATTGTTAGAGTCCAATGAAAATCTGATTTTGATAGTTTTGCATAGAATTATCCTTTTTGGAAGATTTTCTACTGGAGGATTTTCTGTTAATTTCTGGTATTGTGAAATTCTATGATGATGTGCCTCTGCATTGATCTATTTTCAAGCAATTTGTTGAGTGCTACATGGGTCCTTTCAAGCTGGAATCTCAAGTTCTTCAGGGAATAGATATGACACATGCTACATATAATTTTCTCCATTCATTATCTTTCTTTCAGCTTCATTTAGGGTGTATTAGCTAGTAGACATTTTCAATTTATCTGGCTTTGATTTGATCCTTTGGAAATTATTTCCACACAAAGATTTTAGAAACATGACATTAGTTTTCTAAGTATCTTTTTCCACTCCTTGTCTCTCTTTACATTTGAGTCTAAAATATTACTTTTTTTTTTAAGTTTTGAAGTAGAAAGGCAATTTATTTTTACATAATGAAACTTTTATGATAACATTCTTTACTAAATAATCCATCATTTTTTTCCCATGCTGTGAAATGTTACCCTTTATCCTACATTTGGATCTACTATAGATTCTCTATTTTGACAGGGGTTTTCTGATAATTCAAAGATGTAGGGTTATCTTTATTCATTTTGCATAATGTCTCCAGTTAGAAAAATGCATTAGAAATTTGAATAGTCATTTGAAACCAGCAACACCCTAGCTGAAATGTCACTTTTCACTTGCATTACAATTATGCTACTTTAAATGACCTTGTCAACCATGAAATATCACTTTTTCTGTAGAAAAGTTAATTTATTCTTACCCATTGCAGGGGTGGCGAGGGTTTGGCGGCCAACAAGCTGGGCTGGTCCCAGCCCATCGAGAAAATCACTAAATTGACTGTCCGCTCCTAATCTCACTCCAGGAAATATTAAGCTATTAGCAAAAGTACAAAAAATCAAAACATTAGCTCTCCCATAATTCTTTTCATATTTTCCATTATACTACTAATTCTGATCATAAATCATAAACACTGCTTAGACAATAGGCTTACTTATTGATTGCATCGCCTCTGCACCAAGCAAGCATATGAGTGAGAGTCATCTCTGATTGAGAAAAGATCTAAACTCTCAAATTAAGAGCAGATGTGGTAGTCAAGAGAGCTCTGTTATAGTTTTTAATATATTACATTTTCTGGACACCTACAAATAAAATTCCCTACCTAAATACTAGTATATCACTGACATAAAATATAAGATGCACATTTTTATATCATGAACTTTACATAAATAATTGCTCATAAACATTGTGTAACATTAATGTTAAACTTAAAAAATACCTAATGGTTTCTTAAATAAATATTATAGCATAATACACACATTCTTATTTAAAAATAAAAATGTTCAATTTATTCATTTTGAGTGCATTACATTTCTATATTATCTGAGGTTTTTACTTAGTTCAAATGGCAATGGATTGATTAAGATATGTCTGTTTCTTACTACATGGCTGCCTGAATTTCCTGGGCTGTGAGCTCCAGCAGAGCAGTGATTATGCTCTTTGTGTTTATTGATGTATCCTGGGTAACAAGAACCAGGCTTGTTAGGTGGCTGGACTGCAATAAGCATTTTTAAAATAAACAGATGTCCATAGGGATTTATTACTTCCAATGTGCTTCCACAGATACTATTTCTTCACAACGAAGTGAATTACAAGGGTACATATTATCACCCATCCAGAGACTATGAAAATAAATTTTTGAGAGTCTAAGGGGCTTATCTATGATGGACATAAATATCATTTGATCTGTTAATTTTTATATAAAAATAATGTATCCAGTCTTGCATTTGGATATTGCTTTATAACCCTTGATCACATATTGGTATTTTGTCAGCAAGTTTATCTCCATAAATTTCACCCCTGCAGATTTTTTGGTCTTAGCTATATCTTGCTGATAGCATGCATCCCAATAATTTGATCAAATAAATAAACTTGTAAGTTTTAGGAATGGGAAAGAATATAGCAAATATGAACTTGGCATACTTTTATTTTATTTTCTGAACAAAATAGAAAAATTCCAGTAAAATACAATAAAATATTAATATTAGGATTGGTAAATGAATTATTTAAATGGTAATAAATGAATAACTGTAAAAAATGTTTACATGGTTAATTCCCAAGTAACCCACTGAAGAATAATTACTAATTTGTAAGACCTGTCACCTCAGTAAAAATTCAGTTTTATCAGAAAAATTCTCAAGCATAGGAAAATTAAATAGTAAAAAATAAATTAGGTAAGCAAAATAAATAAATAAATAAATAAATAAATAAATAAATAAATAAATTCTAATTATATTTTTTCAAAATTAATTAATTTTGGAATTAACTAAAACTCTTTAGTAAAAAAATAACAAGGAAGATAAATCCTGGGCTTTTATCTTAAGGGAAAAATGAGTTAGTGATGTTTTAAAAACATGAAAATATAAGTTGCTGTTCTGAGAGTTTTTAACTTACAACTTAGAACCCTAAATAGTTTGGAGAAATATAAGAATATAAAAATTAGTTCCTCAGTCACTTTTTCTTTTCCTGACTTTTCTTTTTTATTGATTTTATTGGGGTGACACTGGTTAATAAAATACACTGGTTTCAGGTGTAGAGTTCCACAACACGTAATCTGTACACGGTACTGTGTGCTCACTACTCCAAGTCTCCCTCCATCACCAACTGTATCCTCTTCTACCTCTCCCTCCATTCCACTTCCCCTCCAATCATCACCATACTGTTGTCTGTGTCTATGAGTTTTTGTTTTAATTCCTTTAGAATTTTCATCCAGCTCCACAACCCGCCTCCTCTCTGACAGCTGCCAGTCTGTTCCTCACTTCTAAATTTCAGTTCAGATTTTGGTAACCGGGCCAGACAATGAGTTTCCCATATGAAAGAATCCATTGAAGGTGACATTTCTACAATAAACATCCATGAGTGGACTATTTCGAACTTTCCTGAATGATAGAAATCAGTTTATATTAACCCAACATTGCACCATTCCTTTGAAGGTTCTGAATGACCAGGTCGGTGCAGAGGCATGTCTGTGTGTGTGTATGTATCACAAGAGGTCAGGCATTTTTAAATAGATGACTGACCAGCTAGTGAAATGAAGACATTCACAGTACCCCTTGGGGGCTGTGTTATTTTCCCTATGCCTCCATGTCCATGGTTCCAAAGCCATGCAGATGAGCCGGCGTCACTTACTTTCCCTCGGAGCTGTAGCTGTTGATGCTGCCATCAGTAGACTCTCGACTTGGCTGTCTCACCATCTTCCTCATCTCGGCTGCCATGCCCGTTTCTGTGCTTCTCTGGATGGTGCTTTTTAACTTCTTGTGGCCCGACTCTGGCAGGAGAGAGGGAAAAAAACTCTAAGTTTGGTTTAGGCAATTTCCCGAATATTGACTCCACAAATACAATAGTTCATTAGGTGCACAGTTAAACGTTAAACTCAGAAACAAAGCGTCTAACAGAGTCATGTGATTAAGTAAATCTTTTTGCCAAAGTGTGCTTTGGCCAAGAGGGGTGGCAATATTGCTCTGGTTTCAGGGACTGCCTGAATCTCAAAGAGCCAAAAGGAACTCATTGTATTACTGCTGCCGAAGTTGTGAACTTCAATGAAAAAATGGATTTGGCACCAAACTGCTATGTGCAAAGAGAATGCTGAACAACATAATCTGGAATGCTCCAATGTGTGGGAACCGTCCTAAACGAGGGGCCATGTCCTTTAAAGGAGAAGAGGCACTTGGAAGAAAGCGTGGAAAATACCGCAGTTTGGGTACTGCCACACAGCAGCAGTCCTCCTAGGGAAACTTCAGTATTTCATTTGATGTTTTTCACAACACTTTGACAAACCCAATCTCATTAAAGACGGCATGTATGTTGCTTATGCAGATTGAATAGGTATTATCTTAATTCCAAGGTTTCAAAGTTACCTCATGGCCCTTGGACTTTAGAGCAATATCCTTGAGCCCATTGGAAATGTATTAACTAACATTCTATTTACAGCATGGAAATTCTAAAACATTTATTTGAATAGGGCAATATCAAAAGGTTAGATAAACTATTAGACCTTTAACACCTGCCATGCCTTTTTCATCTACACATCCTACAAGCATTTATGGGTTTATTTTAATTTTTCTAAAGTATAATTTAATATTCATTAATAATACACGAAAATGCTCTATATACATACATACAGAAACTACCAATATATGAGTATATAATAAATTTTTCAATCTTCATAAATCTTCTGTGAAGCGGGTGCCTAAAAATAAGCCATATGAAAAATTGCATGTTTTCTTCTGATTTGCATCTTTTGTCAATTGTCTAATAAAAGATATCATTGGTTATGTGATATGGACTCAATATGGAATATTCTCTACAGGAGAGTCATGGTGATCCCATGATAAGAACACAAGTGTGATTATGATACTTCTTTGTGCAAGATCTTGTGATGGTCTATCATTAAAATTAAAAGAAAACCCAAAATTGTTTTCATTGCCTACAGAATGCTAGCTAGGACCTGGCTACCTCTCAGATCTCACCCTCATCCCATGTGCACACTGCTGCCCAGTCACATTTCCTTCCCTGAATTTCTCATCTACTCCAAGCACATGTTTCCTTACTGGCATCTCCTGCTGACTTTTTTCACCTTGCTCCCTCATCTTATTTGGGTCTGTTTCAGTCCTCATCAATCTTTGTCCTCTTGCCGTGGTTCATATTTCTTCAGAGCAATGCTCCATCTTTCATTAAACCTCAATTTGTTTGTTGTCTGTTTCCCCAAATAGAACTTATTTCTATGAGAGAGAGACATGTGACTATTGCTGACTGTTTTCCCTAGCATGGAGAACAGTGGGATAAACTCGGTAACAGGATGACACCACAATCCTAATGTGCAATTGTCTCATTCCATTTAATATAATCGTAATATAATACAAACACACCCGTGTTTATTGTTTTTAATGATTGCACTGTTCCATCCTATGGCTATGTGGTATCATACTTAAACCATCTCTTTCTGGATGAGCATTCTCAGTTGCTAGAGTTTTTATAGAACACATTTCTAGACATTGAAAAGCTGGTCAAAGTGTAGGGGTCTGTTTAATCTTCATAGCTATTTCTAAATTGTCCTTTAGAAACATTGCAGCAATTTGTACCCCTGCCAACATTTATGCAGATGCACCCATTTATCCAGCAAAGGCATAGGACTTTTCTACACTTCCCCTTTCTGGTGTTTGTCTTGTCCATTGACTTGTTATTATAGAATGTGTACACATACCAAAGGCAGGGACTTCATTTACGGCCATTCTGAGTGCTGTATAGTTTTGGTATATTTATATCTATCTAAATACTGTGCCTCCTTCTTAGATATAGGTCCTTTATGAAGTCGCTGTGGTAGAGTAACACGTCCTTCATGCACACACGGGCCAGATCCCACGTGAGGGGGAGGGACAAGCCTCAAGGGCTTATTATCAATCGTGATAAAAGTTTCCAAGGCAGGATGAGGCATTACAGCTGGGACGGGGAGGCAAATTCTTTGGTAATCATGGCTAGAAAAAGCGTGGGCAAACTTTCAATCTAAATCCAAATGATAAGGTGATGTTGGAAACTGGAGGAGAAACAGTTAAGGGATCAGCAGAAAGGAGTTTCAGGTTAGAGTATACATTACTTCAGATTTTCATCCATCCACCCACCCACCCATTCAACCAACCAAACAACAAATATTTATGAAGCCCCTAATGTGCGTCACACACTGTTCTAGGCGCTGGGCACGTACTGATAAATGACCAATTTCCTGTATCCTGGAGCTTACACTCCACTGTGTGTATTTCTTCTGTGTACACAAGAAAGGGAATGAACAAATAAACAAACACTATCACTGGTAATACCTGCTGTGGGAAAAAAAAGTTAGGTGGGAGAAGATGGATAGAGAGTGACAGAGCAAGAGCAGCAATGGGCTTTTTAAAAAAGGGGCCAGGTTCTCATTAAACATTGGACAGGGGAGGAACCCCACAGAGGAACTGATCCTGGGAACTGCAGCGGGGAGGCTGCGTGGTGGTCAGGAGGGGCTGCTGTTTTGTCAGAAGCACACAGTCCTCCAGGTTTCTTCTGCAGTCTCTTCAGTGTGGATGCTGGCCTTGACTGCTCTGTGAGCTGGCAGTCCAGGGGATCCTGGAGGTAGGCTGTCAAGACCTGCGTTCTGTACATTTCCCAATACAGGTTTCACATGGTTGTCATTCATTACATATTTTCACATGGCTGTCATTCATTACGTATTTGTATAATTAGTGGAAAGAAAAAAATTAAAAGTGAACAGCCTGTTAATTTTTTTGCTTTTTAAAAAAGTTGGAATATCAAGTTTTCTTAAAGAAGGGTATATCTACAGGGTATCCCAAAATCCTTAGAGCAGTTTTAAAGCTTAATAGTTTCCAAAATGTAAAGGTTACACACTTTGAAAAGACATCACTTGAAAGGTTGGTTATTACCTTCCTCTCATATTTACTTTTGTGAATCTGAATTACATATTTTAATTTTAAAGTTTTGTTTTTTGTTTTTTTTAGTTCTTTTGAAGATAGCAAACATAGACCAATTTAGCTCTTGCCTTATTTATGCTAATACTCAAGGCAAAGAGCTTTGATGGACTGAACAATTTTATAAAGGCCCAGGTAAAAGCTGAATAAATAGTTCCAGCAATGAATCTGCCCCATTTGAATTCAAAGGGCTCTAATATTATTCAGAAGAAAGGGTAGGGAGAAACACTGTTTAATAGGTGTAGAAACTAGAAATTTTGTGCAACATAATCCATGCAACAAATATCTGTTCAGCACTTACACTGGGCCCAGTCTCTTCTAGATGCTGGTGATCCAGCAGTGAACACAACAGACAAGCACCCCTGCCCACATGGAGCTTACAAGCTAGTGAATATAATGACCTGCTCAGTAGTTAGTAGCAGAAACCGCATTAGAAACCTGATTTTCTGAATCTTAGTCTTGTGATCACTCCATTATATCACAGTTTAGAAAAACACAAAATCTCATCTTACTTATTTTACAAACAGAACAACAGTTTAGCCACATGGATATTTTCATTTATACGCCCTCATATGGACTTATAAATTCATTTGAAAACTTTGTTGAAAGTCACATATATTCTATACAAGTACAAATGAATGTAATCACTATTTCTGCATATGCTGTAAATACAGCGTACATGTTACATACATGTATTATTTTTAATATCAATATAATGCATTAACCATAAAATATTAGCAAATACAATACTATTATGCTTATTAACACAGTAGCACTATTCTTTAATAATTATTTATATACATTGAAGAATATTAACCTGATAAAGACATGAACTCTGATATCAAATTATGAACATGAAACCTTTGACTTAAGTCTTTAAGTATTATACAAAGAACCAAAGGATTAGAAAACTAGTATATGTATGTTAATATTCTATGTTCACAAACACATAAAATTTAGTACAATCCATAACATTTGGAGCAATATTTTACCTGGACTTAGGAAGAACAAACTTTCTCTCACTGAATATTCCAAAGTGCCTTATTTACATATGTACTTATACTCTCTTTTCATATTTAGAGATGTGTGTTATATTTAGAAACAGCCTACCAACTTTTCACTCTGGAAATACTTTTTAGCACCAAGTACCTGTAATATAATAGATATCATTTTAGGGGTGGAAGCTACAGCAGTAATGATACAGAATAGCACATATAATAAACAACTAAAACAAGTAAGTTAACATAATAATTTTAGATATTGGTAATCATCATGAAAGAAAAACAAAGCAGAAGAGACGGTCTCAGTAAAGTGAGTTACTTTTGATCAGCTGGGCATGGAAGGCCACATCTGAGAATGCAGAAAAGGATTTAGCCATGCAAAAAACTGAAGGGAGATGGCCCAGACAGAAGAAGCAAGAATAGGACTCTGAGAAGTGACTGTCCTTCCTGGCTTTTCTGAGAAAGCTAGGAGAGGGTGACAAAGGTGGATGATGAGAAGACGGAGAAGAGGCTGAAGGACCTGGTGGTGCAGGACCAGCAGGGAAGCAGCCTGGATGTTGCGCTGAGAGTGCTGGGAAGCCACAGGGGGTGATGATACATCCAATCTATGATCTAAGCTTTTGAAGGATCCCTGTGGTTACTTGGTGGAGAATGAGTGTTAGGAACTAAAAGTGAAAGCAGGGGGAATATTTGGAAAGTTACTTTTCTACCGAAGAGGAGATAAATAATGGCTTAAGTTAGGGAAGCAGCAGTGGAGATAAGGAAGTAGGGTGAGCACTGATTATATTTTGAAGAGGATCTTATGGTACTTG